TATCGCCAACAAAAATAATAATATTAAAAAATTACAAATCTTATCAGCAGCAACTGCATTTCATTCAACAAATCTGTTGGAAGTGTGTATAAAAAAGAATGAACTGCAGACATATTTTTTGGGCAACTCCACCGTTATGGTTCGATAATAATAATAATAATAGATTGGCGCTAACAGATATGTTAGTGTTTGGCCGAACTTCTCCTCCGATTTGTGGCGTGCGCCTTGATGTTGTCACACAAAGCGGAGGGACCTACAGTTTTACGCCGACTCCGAACGGCGATTGTATTTTTATGAGAAGCGGTTTTTCATGGTAGAAATACACTCGGAGGTTTGCCATTGCCTGCCGAGGGACGAACGCTGTTAAGAAAAAACTTTTTTTTCTATATTTTTTGCGATGTTGCTTTGACTTGCTTTGAGGGTTTGAACCCAGGTGCTGTGGAGTGGAAGCGTGCACTGCTTACCACTACACCACAGCGGCCGACTTTATTTTGTGTTTTTGCAGAGAAAAATACTAGTTGTGAACTAGAGTACTACCAGTTCGCTTTTCCGCTCAACCAGTTCGTGTTCTATCCTTTTCCCATGGTATTTTTAACACGGCGATGCCGTACGAAATTTCAATTGTCCGGCTATGCAACAGCATATACCAGTTGGCAGTAAAAAAAAATAGTAGTCCAATAGGTTTCGAAATGAAACCAGTTTGAGACCTGTTAAAATATAAATAAAAACATCCAAATCAACGTTTTAAAATATTTTATTTCATATAAAAATTCTATACAAAACTAGGTTTGTTCGTCGAGCAAAAAATTTTTACGAATTTGTACGAATTATCACGATTTTTGCCCAAATCGCGTTCGTGCAGACCAAAAATTTATCCAACATTCAAAAATTGTGAGAGCAAAGTGACAGTTCTCTTGGAGAGAAGTTGCAAATTCTTGCTGGAAAAAATTTTCCCAGCAAGAATTTGCAAACACGAAAAACATGTGGTTGTGGCGCATGGTTGCATTTTTGTCTACAATAATTTGAATAAATTAGTTCGTTATATTTAAAAATTTATAAACACGAGCGATTTTTTTATGAAAAAAGGAAGTAAATAATTGTTGATATAATTAATTTAGATAATTCCAATGATTTGAATTTAACTCGGCTGAAAAAAATTGTATTCGCAATCGGAATGCATTTGCAACCAGAGTCGATTTAAGAAACCCGACAGCTAGTACGATGAAGAAATTGAAATGTATGTTAAAGAAAGTCAGAACGACAAGAAATATACATGTATATCCTGTTTTTGGCCATCCGAAAGAATTTTAAAAATTCTATAAAAATTTTGTATGTTTGAAATGCAACCGTGGACACCAGCTGGCAAGGAAACTTGCAAATTCCTGCAAATTTGCAAGTTTCTCTACATGAGAGAGAATTTGAGAGAATTTTTTCTTACTCTCTGATATTTTGAGTGTTGGATAATTCTTGCTGGATTTTCGACGAACAAACCTACTAGCTTTTTTCTTAAAATTTAGCGTTTGAATTTAAATGCTGAATCAAAGGAATACAGTTTTATTTGGCAGCTCTACTGCTTCGGAAACCAATAAAATAAATAGATATTGCTATACACATTTGTGGTCATAAGTGGGCGGGGCCACGCCCATTATCCAAAAATGTATAATAATCAAATTTCCTGCTGAATCAGCTTCAATAATTACTGATCTAAAGCAGTTTTCGTGTTTCTGTAAATTACCGTTATATTGGACTGGGCGTGGTTATTGGCCGATTTAAAAGATTTTCAACAGTTTTCTTAGTTGGACCCTAAGCAAGGTTCGGACCGAGTTTGGTAGGAATTGGTGAAGCGGCTACTGAGATACAGCATTTCATCATAAGTGGGCGGGGCGACGCCCATTTTCCAAAAATCTCATTATAATATTATTTTTTACCATAATTCCAGTTCACATACTAATTTTCAACAATTTCGATTGAATATTTACTGAAATATCATAGTTTTTGCCTTTTTCGAAAATACCGTTGTATGGGAAGTGGGCGTGTTTACAGCCCGATTTCGCCCATTTGCAATACCAACCTATCTTGGGCAAAGGGCAACCTACATACGTACCAAATTTCTTTGAGATATCGGACGGACGGACTGATGGACAGCGGACACATGTGCGGTCGGGTATAAAAATTGCCAAAAATCAAGATATTTTGTAGCCACGTCAAACTTGCTTTTTGTTATACTAGAATTTAATGCGCTACACTTCATACGAACTTTTTTTTAAAAAATTCTTAAAAAAAGTACGATTTGGAATTTTTGGAATTTTTATAATTTTTGCGTGTGTTTGGTACAACTTGCCATTCCCTGTGCCGTTTGATGTTCATTGAGTCTTCTTCGTCTGGTTATCATCAATGTTGTTTGGCCTATAAATAGACTTTCAATTCAATTTCTTTCGATTCAATACAATTAATTGGATTCGATTTTTTATACTTAAATTTCAATAGAGTATGCAAATTAGTAAGGAAAATGATATAATTTGAAATTGAATAATTAAAGGTACACAATGTTCACGAAGCGGAGGAAATGTATTCATGGTTTAGAAAATGATAAAAGAAGGCAAGTGTGTTCTTAAATTCATTTAATTTTAATTTTATTTAGTTTTAATAAAGCCTTTATAGCCTCCCAATAAAAGTCCGTTTTTACATACGCATTGTTGTCCCTACCTCAACCATTGCCATTACCATTACGAAATCCATAACCATTACCATTACCATCGCAATTACAGTTACCACAGTTTATAGACTTATGGCCTTATTTATGAAAAATAAAATAGATTTAAAGAGTTCTATAAAGTGACATATAAGTTTTCGATTTATAAAGCAGTTAAAGTGTTCTTTACTTTTTTAATAAATTCGGGTGTTAAATTTTACTGATACAAGTGGTAAAAATTTTTTGGGTGAAAATTTGCAGGGGAGGGGTTGAAGGTGCAGTTTTTGAAATATTTAAAAACTTACATATATTTTGAAAAATATTTAACTGATTTTCAAAATATGCACATATATTAGGGAGCTTTTTTTCGACGACTATACATTTTTGTTTTTAACCCTTGCTTTATTTCCCACAAAATTTCGAGGTGGGAGTAAATAAAAAAATAGTCGCCGTCAAAAAGCGCCCTAAGGTTGGAAAGGTTTCCTTCTAATATCCCAATCTTATTATTGCCTCCCTTTTATTAGCTCGGGATGTAACTATGTAATATGGATGCGCCCAAAAGATGCAGCGATTTCTATTCTCAAGTTACACACCTGATGACAGTAGGAATGGAAATTATAATAGCGAGGTTTTAGTTTTTTAAACTATAATTTTATTTTGCAACCGGCAGTCTTTTTGAGTTTTTATCCTTCCACTAATTTTTCTGTTATCATACTAGTAGCCGCCTTTTATGTAAGTTGTAGTTCTCAAAACCCATTTAGTTTTAAAAATTATCAGCTGTCGGTTTTTATCAGCTCTGTGGCGTAGGCTGGTTTTCGATTTTTTACTACATGCATACATATTTAAAAGCGTGCTATGGCGATAAAAAACGTTTTTTCATTCATTGTAATGCTTCATGCTCACTTGCTATCGCACACAAAAAAGAGAGGATATTAGGTAATATTTATTACAAACTGCAAAAAATGCAAATGCTTTAAAAAGTTTAGTTTATGAAAAAAAAAATAATAATTTCCTCTCTACATCCTCCCTCACAATCAGACTTTTGCTTATGGTTGCATGGATGTGTGATTTCCTCGTATTGCGATTACTGCATAGCACAGTTAAATAACCCAGAAGATAATTTAGGTGGGCCTTCTTAAGTGAAGCCATTCGAAAATGCTTGCCCAAGAAGTGCTGTAAAAAGCGCGCCTAAACAGGGTTAGATCGCCGAAACAACAGCCCTTGGTCGGGTAAGACCCGAATCATTCCGGTACGTAGAACCGGCTGTTCGTCACCATTTTCAGCGACTTTCGCCTCCAAGAATGTAGATATAGCAGGCCAATCACTACCATTTAGCAGGAAAAGAGCGTCAGCTGCCGCTTGAGACCCGCGTAACTATAGCCCAGTTGTTCTTCGTGCTTGGCCGAGTCAAACAAAGGGCGCCAGTCGTTTCTCTTCTTTGCCAACTGACGCCAATCGGAAGTGTCAAGTGAAGCCAAGTCCTTCTCCGCCTGGACCTTCCATCGCAGAGGGGGCCTTCGTCTTCATTTGTTACCTCGTCGAATACTGGCCCAGTTAAGAGATATTCAAGTATACCGAACTCGGCGACACCAAACAGCCTCATTTAAACTCACTCAGCTAACACCTCTTTCCTTTAGATCTGTCCCTGTCGTAACGGCACATCCCCTGCGCCTGCCGTTAGTGAAGCTTGGCGATAATGATTTATGGGCCAACCGTACTAGGCAGCGATTAGTAATGCCGTTACAATAATGACAACGTTTGTATCTTTTCCCGATTGCCATTAACATTTAACTATTCACATTTCCCCTAATCTTTACCTTTATCAGACAACGCAATCTAACATCGAAATCACATGCATGTATGCTTGTTTGTTTATATTCGTGTTTCAATTAGATAAAAGCAATGAAAAATGTTATCAAAAACGGCCGCTTCGAGCTGATTAGCCTCCGGCTTTGTTGCTTTTTCATACAGTTGGCTTTTGGGAAGGTCGCGTTTGGACTTTCGCAAAAGTATGCAATAGCTACGCGAGCACACAGCTCCAGTGTACCAACAACAATATTTAGATTCGCCAAAAGTGTTGTTAAAAAGAATTAAATTATACTTTAATTTGCAATCAAACAATAAGTACATACAACTTTAAGCAAAAAAAAATAAATATAACCAAATTTGTTGTTTTTGCGCACACTCCAGCAGTAAAATAGTTAAATCACTAAGTACTTTATCACTAATATTTCATGTGCGCATGATTTTAATAGAATTTCCTCCCTTTTTCTTTCCCCTAGTTAATTGCCTGCTCATTAGCGTCTAGAGCTTTAAAATGTCCAATCAATCAGACATCGATTATGATAAACAATTCCAAGATGATTTGGCCAAGGCGACCGCATTGAGTTTGGAGCAACAAGCACTCGATGATTATCGTCGCGCCAAAAAGTACGGCACCGCCGCCCACTACTACAATGAACGCGCCCAATCGCAGTCGCCTTCACTGCAACATTCACATTCCGTACATCAGCGCCAGCAATCGACTGAATCCGCAGTTGCCTTTTACGCGCAACTGCGTACACGTTACCAGCAGTCGCGTGACAACTCAAACGAAGCGTCTGCAGCAGCGCCAATGCCACCACATCGTCGCCACTCTGAGGCCAACAACAATGTGTCGCTGAATGTAGCCGCAGTAACGGCAGCGTCACGCGAGCGCTCCAAAACGCCACCTACCGCGCTGCCTGAAAGCGATCTTATCTCTTTCTCCAGCCCTACGGCGAAAGAAGCGCAACCCAATACTTTCGAAAAGCTAATCGAAGATTTGCAGAAGCTGCAGACCTCGAGTCAACAAACGGCATTAGTGCCGTTCGGTCCTGTAGCTGCGGCGCCCATAACATCAATGCATGCTGCTGCCGCCGGCTATCGTGGCACACCGCCTTCACTGGTCACGCCCACACACAACACTGCCATGTATGCGGCAGCGCCGGCAGCATTGGGTGGGGGTGCGGGTGCAGTTGGTGGCACCGCTGGCAATTGTATGCAATTGGTGCCCTTTACGCCGGCACCATCATCAGCACATCAACAGAAAGTACCACTCACAGGTGAGGAGCTGCAGAAACTCTATAACATGCCTCTCCAACAGCAACAACAACAACAGCAGTATTATCAACAACAGCAGCATCAGCAAAGGGCGGCCATAATGCCAGCGGGCTTCGTTTATCCTTCAACACGCATGGGCTTCGTACCCTCGGTGGGTGGTTATGTTGCACCAACACATGCTGCAGGCTACACGCAGAGCGCGCCACCTACAGCTGCTGCAGCAAGCGCTTTTACACCTCCACAATTTCCACCAACGCCTTCACACTATGGGTTTCAATATGGCGGCATGCCGCCCGCAGCTGCTTCATATTATGGCACCGCGGCAGCGCCGACGAATATACCATCGGTAGCAAGCAGCGTTTCCGCAGCTGCAGCGCCAATGCCGCTCACCAAGTCACAGTCTGCAGCGGCAGCGATTGTACCGAATGGCAGTAATAGCGGTGGTGGTAGTACGGTTACCACTGCTGGCATGCGTCGTCAAACACCGCCTGCGCGCAAGCCACAACGCACCGGAAATGATTTGATTGATCTTAATCAGGAGGATGAGTATGTTGCATGCAATGAGTTCTTTCAAAAGATTTTTACTCTTTTTTCTAATCAATGCTTTTATTTACAGCTCGCGTGTTAGTGTGTTGGAGGCATTCGATCCTTTGCTCAATGCGGATGAAGAAGGTAAGCACTGAATTGCTGTTGGTACTTATATTTTCATTATGCGCGCGCTTAGTTTGAGTTGAAGCCTGAAAGTTGCTCCAGCTTTCTCGTTTTATTTGGTTTGGAATGTGTGTTTACAGTTGGCTTTACTTAGCTCATTACCCCTAAATTCTTTAAATATGATAATGCTCGCAATTTTTAAATAGCTTGTTCCTCACTCTCCTAGTTCGCGTGGATTACTTTTCAAACCCTTGTACAATAATTGTATTTTTTTTTTTACTATTTGCTTAGACATTGTGCCCTATACAAATATTAATAGCTTTTTAATATCGACACTATAAACAAGTTTCTGTTATGGTATCGATTTAGCGGTAGTTTGTTTTAACGACAATTGCGAAAGGCGAAAAGGTGACTATTACTCATATTATTTGTCACGCCAGAAGACAACTCTGTGAACGACAACCACTCGACCAAACGCTGTACAAACATGCAATTAACGACCTTCACAGAGATACCATTACCACCTTTATCAGCTCTCGCTTCTTGAATGTCGTCAAGGAGTTCAATCACCACCAAGTTTCAGCTGCCTGGTGACAACGTTGATGAATGAGCCAACCCGCGCGTGGTTTATTAGCCGCTACAACAACAACAGCTTCCCCGAGATCCACGGCCTGGCTACTGTAGCATATTAAAATTTTACCTATCCAGACTCGACTAAAGTTTTGTCCTGTATGTGCATTCATGACAATAACTACGTCTTCACATGTCACTTTAAAACTATTCAACTAACGCCCCTTTCTCTTTGGTCCAACCTCATCAAAACAGTACGTTTCCTGGGGCTACCTTAGCCACCGAGAGAGTTATGTCGCTCACAAAACTTCAACGCAATGCGCACACCCGACGACAGCACTGGAGGTGATTATCGGGCTCGAGCCACTGCACATCAGCATACAGCCTGCAGCCAAGCAAGTTCTTATCAGCTACGATCACGGCAATGCTAGTATCCAAGCTTCTAGAAGAAATTTAAAATAGAGCTCCACAGGAAATTAGCTTGGCAACCACTCTATAGTGTTACATAGACTAATCTAAAGCTCCAGAAGGCTTTGCGGTAGGCCGTGTGTATTAAATCTTCTCTGGTGCTTGAGTGCATTGATAAGCTTACCGCCCTTGCTGAACATAATTATATGGTTTCCAGCTGCTATGAGCACAAGATAATAAGGGAGTAGAAGAGAACGAGGTAGCGGACGGCTTAGAATATAAGGCAGCGGCTTCAACTCCCACAGTGTCTATGCTATTGCTTGCAGCAGGTCCAAACACAATCAGCGAAGAGCAAAGAGAGATAATAGGAATGAGAAAACAACACTGGCGAAGCACCACATGACTTCGCCAAGTCAAAAGCTTAACAAACTGAAGAGATACAGGATCCTAGTTAATCTCCCTAAAGAGGAAACTAAAGATTATTATAGTAATTTTAACAATACATCCGTTATGTATCAGTCGGGTACATTCTACGCCCCTGGTTTATTTCTGTGAAAGGACTATTAATTCAACATGTTTGAATAGAGGTTATAAAAGCACACAAGGTTTAAAAAAGATTTTATGAGAGTACCTTGCCTGAAGATCAGTTGAAGTATTTGGCTGTGCTAAGTTCTTAGTTATTTCCTAAGCGTCTCGTAATTGAATTTTTCTTAGTTTCCCTCAAAAGTTGATAAACAAAGGGCAATCCATTGAATATAAATACCGGGAAATTATGTTATCGCGCTTAAATTTATATTGACGCTTCTTAAATATTTGATTTTTTATTCATACAAAATAAAGGCTTAACATTTTTTGGCAAGTTGTTACGTTTTAAATATATTCGCACGCCGTGTTACAATTTAAAACAAATGTGCATTGAGTTCTTAAGTTTTAATACGTTTTAAAAATGCAAAAGTAACTTAAAAAGTTAACTTTTTACGCTCACGCTTAAACTGATTTTCCCTCTTTGGCTTGGCATTAGCATTTTATTTGACCTTTATTTTCTTTTTGCATTTCCATTTACCCAACATTTACATATGTCATTTATAAACGCACATCTGTGCACTCTAACATTTATACATACGTATTTCCTGTGGCTTTGTAAATTTTCCTTTGTGCACTTTAAAGGTATTTTAATTTCATTACAAAATATTATTGTACTATATTTTTATTTATTTCTCTATCTTCCAGTATGGAAAAAATAACCAACACATTTTGTTGCAAGCAAAACGTTTTTCTACTACCACACATACATACACATACTTAAAACGACTAATGAAAAAAAAATATGTATTAAAATTTCAAATAATATTTATATTAAAAGCGACACGAAGAAGCTTACATAAATATATTTACGTCGATGTAAAAAATGCAGCAACCAAAAATATAAAACTAAAAAATTAAACGAAAATAATAAGCAGTGTCTGATGTCTACAACAATTTAGATATTAATATTAAAATTCCAAAGAAATTAAATTTCGCCATACTCTGCTCAACTATCACATTGGCAACGTAATGCAAAAATAAATTAAGAAAGGCGCTCGTACAATTCCTTCGAAGTTTTCGTCGTTTTTCATAAAGTATATCTTCCGGCTTTCGATAAGCGTGTGTTACATTTGAACTGAGATAAAATATTAAATACAGCTTTTTATTTTGTTCCAATAGTTGGTTCACGACTTCAAAATATAATATGCGATATGGTTAACGAGTGTCATTAAAACATATACAACTACTTCAATATGCGCTCCACCACCTATTGGTCTCTATTACAGCACGTGTAACCGTTTATGTTTTAAAAAAAGTATACTATTCGAAACACAAAATGTTAACCGTTTGCCTAAACGGGCTTTTGCCTGGATATATGTATGTATATGTAAAAATATCTATATAAAAATATAGTCGAAATTGAGACCCTTCAACATTAAAATTCATCTAAAATTAACTGTATACCAAATTTGTCAGTTCAAAGAAAGTACACCCTTATTGAAATCCTGTTCTTCACATGTCTAGTTCTCTTTTCATTTATCCATTGTGCCTCTTCTTCAAGGTCTTCATACATATTATTGTAGGTTTATATACAACTAGCTGAGAGTTATTAGTTATTTATCTAAACTTAATACGAAGAAAGAATGCATTATATTATGTAAAATCATAGGCAAAAAAGTATGCACGAAATGCTTTTACAAGTAAAGTTAAAAAAAAAAATCAAAAATCAAAATTGAACCAAAAAACCGGACGTAAAGAAAAATGAAACCTAGCTGATATACATACATACATATATTATTGCATATTTTTAGGCGAGTTATTAAGTTAAATTTTCAACTTGCAAATGGGGTATTCACGCGCAACAACGCCTGCTGGTTTGAAGAATACATATCATAAGTAGTATACATTTTTGGTGTCTTACTATACTAAAAAAAATATATATTTGATTAAAATAAAAGAGGTTTTTTTGTGATTCAACTTAAAGCCTGATAGATGAATGATTTTCAAATAGAACAAAGGATTTAAAATAAAAACACTTCTTATGTTGCGTGGTAATAATTTAAAAAAATTTCAGTGACAATCAAGGCGAATTCATATAAGGTGGTAGTAAATAGCCAAACACTTGAATGTATTTTGTTTTTTGCTTTTCATAGACAAATGTCAAATTTTAGCTAAAGGAAGAAGAGATAAAGAAAATTCCAAAACCATCACTTTCTCACTCACTCATAAGAAATTTTGACACATGTGTACCGAGGCGAATCAAATCAGCTGTTCCAGCAACACCAAGGCGAATTTATACAAGGTGATGTTGTAAAATCAGCTGATTTTTTGGTCTTACATGTATTTTGTTTTTGCTTTTACTGAGTTGACAGCACACCCATCAAAAGCAAAAACAAAATACATGTAAACTTTGGAGCGAATTGAGATTTGACATAACACCCTCCATACAAAATACATATGGTTGTCGTTGTTGTAATCTAAATGCGCCAGTAACACCACCTTGTATAAATTCGCCTTGAGCAACACCATCTTATAAGAAATTGCCTTGGTAACCACTACATTTTTGCTTCCGAAAAAAAGGCAAACATTTAATCTTCGAAAATTAAAAGTAGTTGTTTACTTTTGTTTGTTTAAGTTTAAATAAAAAAAAGAATTATTACTTGTTTGCATTTCTTTTAGTATTTTTTGGCTTAACATTTTTTTTAGTTGCTTTTTATTTCTTGTATTTATTAAGTTTGTCTATTTTTTAAGCCTTCGTTTGTACTTAAATTTTTTAAATATATTAAATCAATTAAAAGTTTTTTAAAGCCAATAATATTTTGTTGAAATAAGTTATTTTAAGTTTTGCTTTGTATTGATAATTTTAAAGCTTTTTAAGAATTTATTTTTAATTTTTTTTTAATTTTAAATTTTTATTATAATTTTTTAATTTCATTTTATTACACATTTTTTGCGTTTAATTTTTTCTTTGAATTCTTAAAGATCTAGTTTAATTATATTCAACAATTGTAGTTTAATGTTATTTATTGAAAAAATTTGAAGAATCAGTCAACTTCAGCCATTCGATTAGTGAACAAAATTTCATTACAAAATTTTTCAGCGCCTGAAAGCAGATTATACTTTCTAAAAGTTTTTTGGTGCTGAATTTGAATCCGGCATCAGAGTTGCTCCATCACCTAAGGTTTTCGAAATATTCAAACCTAACCATGCAATAAATTCCGGGTTTCGCTATATTCGTCGTAAAATTTAGTTACGAAAAAATTTTATTTTGCACTCGATATGATATTTGAAAATATAACCTTTTCTCTTAAAATGCTTTCTTTCATTTATTCTGATATATTTTTTGTACATATCGCACACCCTCCTCACAACTAAAAATTTAGGTAGTTTTTGTTTTTTGCATAAATCAATTCGTAGTATTCATGATAATATTCTATAGCTGGAAAACTACTGCTATATTTGTTTTTGTATAAATTTCGTTCCTTTTCGATGATCCACAAGCAGTTATATATCCGTAT